ATATACTTCTTCAAAGGCCTTTTTAGCTCGTGAAGAGCTATTGGAGTGGCTAGATTTCGCATTTTTCGGATAACGCTTCTCAGCCAATCGTTTTGGGTAATTCCCGTAACCATGGAATCCATTGTATTTCCATTGTATTTATTATATTTATTGTATATCCATTGAAAACAGCCTGGTTTGTCATATATTGGATCGATTAGACTCGGTCCAGATAATATCAATCGTAGAAAAATTTCGTAACCAGAAATCGGAAAGGAAAGGATTGTAGCCAATCAGAAGGAAATAATTTAATTGATAAAGACAACAGTTTGTTTGCGCAAAACATAACTCTGACTATCGCCTTATTCGGGTCACAATACCATCAATGAAATGAGTCACCAAGTGTCATTTGTTATCATCTTAGTTAATTAATATTCAAAACGCTTCACGAGTTTACCATGGGTTACCTTTGATTCGTTCTTAGAACAGTAGAAGAACCATGAAATTACGTGATAATGGGGCTATTACGGGGGGGGGGGCTTTAAACTTGGGTTTTGAACCGTAACCTGCTGACAGCTGTCTTATGTCCTTGTTGTTGTTATTTTACTAGCATGCATTGCCTCTTCCTGGGTTTCTTCTTCTTGGTAAAGACCTTTACCATCATATCCTCGTGTTCAGTGCTTCTGGTGAGTATTTAAATGAAAAAAACGTCCTTTTTTCACAAGGGTAGCACTTAATAGCCAGTGGCTAACAAACCTGTGGCCCTCATTCCATGATCGAGTAAGCCTGAAGCGAGATGACGTTTTACCAACGTCTCTAGACCATAATCCTTTTCACATTACTTTTGTTCTTTAATTATGACTATTTTTCCTGTATTCTCTAAGGAATCAAAAATTTTAATATGAAAGAATTTTAAAAACTATTATGGTATAGAGTCGGGGGTGAAATGTCATCTTGCTTCAGGCTTATTCTGCTTCCAAAATAGCAAAAAATAGCAGATAAGCCTACAAATAATACATTTATCATGACAAGCTCACATGATATCATGGCTTCTCAGCCAATCAGTAGTGAGATGAGTGAGTATGAAAGAATTTTAAAAACTATTATGGTATAGAGTCGGGGGTAAAACGTCATCTCGCTTCAGGCTTATTGGAATTTAGGAGTTGGTTTTTGTGGAGGGAGGAAAACCGGAGAACCCGGAGAAAAACCCTCGAAACACAGGAGAGAACCAACAAACAACTCTACTCATATACAACACCGAACCCGGCGAGACTCGGACTCGGGTCGCATTGATGAGAGGCGAGCGCTCACACCGCTACGCCACCCGTGCTTCCCAATTTGATCATGCAAGCAGTGTTACCACATGAATGGATACAGACATAGTTACTAAGAGGGAGAGGGCTGTAGGAATGTGCATTGACTATCATAGGAAAAAAAACAACCCTCCCTTTCAAAGGAAAGAATATCGTGACCCTACCCATTGTTTATCAGTTTTATTCAGTGACAAAACAGTGGCTTAACCAGGGATCTTGCAGGGGAGGTGCACGGGCAATGATTTGCAGAACTAAAAATTATAATAATGATAATAAATGGTAACCAAAAAAAAAGCAGAACCAAAAACAAATTGGGTGAGTGATTCTTAGAAATCCTACAATATGCAGATGGAAAGTAGTCTTCATTTAATCAAAAAACATTTACATGCAATTTTAAAGCAAAAGAAGATAGATGAGCGGACCTTAAGCTTTTATGGGTGGGGGGCTCACTTGCATCCTGTGCTCCCCCCCCCCCCCTCTGGTTACGGCCCTGCAAAACTTTGGATTTGAATGAAAATATCGATGACACTACTTTTTTGGCTGTGTAAAAACTTGATGATCCTCTCCCCACTCCCCCTCTCGCGCGCTGATTGGTTGAGAAACTCAGATTATCACACAGATTATAAGGTGCCTTTTTGAAATGTTTATCCCATCCTACTGCCTCTATATCTCTTCTAGAACCTTTGCATCTGTTTGGTACCAGTCTTCTCATCCCCAAACTCTGGCTCTACACAATGGGTAACGTGGTCACGCAATACATCTGTATCCGCTCCGTTTACAACCTGACGTCTGAGTGCACGTCATTGACTGTCACGCTTGTTGTCACGTTGCGAAAGTTTTTTAGTCTTCTGTTCTCCATTTTCTATTTCATGAATCCTTTTACCGTCTATCACTGGATAGGAACTGCGCTTGTATTTTCAGGCACTTTTATTTTTGTCGAGTTGTTCCAGAAAATCCGCGATCAGCTAGCACCGCCCAAGAAAGAGAAAAAGACAGAATAATGATTCTCATTCGTACAGGTTGTTGTAATGGATAATGATTTTA